CCTTAACAGCAACCCAGTAACTTGATAGATGTGGGGGCTTCCGTTTACAAAAGTTCAAGGTCTCATTTTGGGGCTTCCTATCTATGATAGGGATTATAGTAAATGGGGTCAATATTGGGGCCTGCATTTGCGCGCAAACCCCTGTGTAGAGTAGTCTGCTCCAAGGCCCTAAACCGTACGCCTTGCCGCGGTTTCAGAATTTGACTGCTGAGAGGCTCTAGAGCTACCCACATGAGTAGTCATTAGGAACAAATTATCCACAAGCGAATCAGTCAGCCTTGGAAGCCATAAACTCCAGACCCTTCCTCTCCCCACCAAATCTTCACCCAAGCCCGAAACCCTAAACCGCGTGTACATCCTCCTGAGACCTTTGCGGCCACATTGTTCTCCATCATCTCCACATCGACCATCCTTTGTGGAGCTTTGGCATGTTGTCGTTCCTAGAAAGTAGGAGTCCCCACTTGGGGGTCTTCAAAGTAAGAGTTATCGTATTTTGGGATATCCAAGGCCCGCCCCACTCTAAACTCTAAACCCGAAGCCCGCAAAAGGACCCTACAAAGACTACTGTCGGTTCAGAAGGGTGCTATGTGGGCATCCAGGTTTGTTTGAAGGGTGCAATTCCTCCACAGCGTCCCTGCACTGTCATCTCCTTGGACCAACAACACAAACATAAATTCCAATGGTTCCTTGGGGTTATACCACGATGACAATTAGGGCTCAGGGGGTCGCATAGACTGCAGGTCAGTTTGTTCTGGACATGGGGATTTCGATTCGAATCCTGGCTTTGGGGCTTGGACTGTCGTACCTGTGTCGATGCCTGGTTCTGGAACGAGAGGGTCAACATCAACAGCAAGCGCTTGAAGATGCAGACTTCTCCCGAGGAATCCACAAAAAACCGTTAAGCTTTCCTATCCCCAGCCACAGGACCTGCAAGCCATTGCAAGATTCCCTAGGCCATTTGAGTAGCCCAAGGTGGGTACTCTTTGTAGACTTTATGGCCCAGGGTGGGTATTATGCATAGATTTGGATGCTCAGGGAGTAGCCCTATGATTGGCTTGCCAGAGGAATGGATTGCCAGAGGAAGAAGCCCGGCTACTATGCAAAGATTACGTGGAAGGCTTCGGAAAGCCCGAGGCACCGGCACAGAACTTGGGGGCTTGGCGCAGAAAGAGGGTTTAGGGCTTAGTACCCTGAAGAAACAGGACGCGGTGTCTTGATGGTCATAGCAACTGTCGGGGCATCTACAACAAAATTACAACAATAATAATAATCGGAACTGTATAGCTCTAAACCCTAAACTGGAAAGCCCCTAGACCCTACCGCTGAACCCCATATCCTCTAGGTGAGAAGGCCACAACAGCTGCGAATCGCAAACATGGAGCCTACTCAGTCCGTAGCCTTTTAAAATCAAAAGCGGCAGTTGGACGTAGGGTTGGAGCTTCACCCAGGCAAGAGTTTAGGGTTTAGGGGTTTTAGGGTTAAGGGGTTTCGGGGGTTTTAGGTGTTTAGGGTAGACCCCACGCCAAGATAGTCTTGCTTGCAGATAAGTGTAGTTTAGCCCTACGCAGGCTAGACCCGAAAGTCTCTTAATTCAGACCTGATGCCTCAACCCTATCCGGCAAGTGACTCGGAAAGGCAGCGCGAGCTTCCAAAGCTTGCGAATGCCTGGACACACACGAGAGGGCTAAGACACGTGTTATATACATACTATGAAAACTATTTCAGGCTACTATGCAAATTATGAGGCGCCATCAAAGGCCTTATAGTTGGGGTAAAAGAGAAAGGGTATCCTACCCTGCGCGCGAAACTCTAAACACGGCTCTCGAAACAGGCGTATTCGGCTAGGAGACAGGTGTTTAAACTCGCTGGTGTTTCTTCAGGATCCATTGGCTGCTCTACGTCCTCCCAACCCTCCAAAACCCTAACTCCCCCAGCGCCTGGACCATCGATGCCTGGCGCTTGAAAGGCTTCGGAGAGTGGACGCTGTCTACTGGCGACTCAGGCTCTAGGTCCATCCTTGGCTGTAAGAAAATTAGGGTCAGGGTTTAGGGTTGAGGGCTTAGGAAAATCAGGGTCAGGGTTTAGGGCTTAGGGTTTAGACAGGCGAATCGCGCAGGCCCGGCAAAGACTGTCCTGTCCCGGCTAGGCAGCACATTGACTGAGCTTAGGGTTTCGGGTTTGGGGCTTTTAAAAATTCAAGGGTTTGCGCTTAAGATAATTTTGGTTCTTGAAGTATCTAGTACTTTTTTATACTTCCTGATCCTCCCCGGTATTCCCCAAGGCTCCCAACCCTGAACCCCTAAACCCTAAGCCCTAAACCCTTTATAAGGTTCCCCTTAAACCATCCGCCCCAAAGGGCCTTGCAGCTATTTACATCTAGTAACAGCATCAAGACAAACTTGGGAGACCTTCATGCAGGCCTCACCAGACACCCACACCCTAAAATCCTAAAGGTTTAGGGTTTAGGGGCCCAAACAGGAGCATGGTAGGACCCAGAGCGGAATTAGGCATCTTGCCCATAAATTCCCCATAGACCTATCTGTTTTAAGCATCACTTCAGAACTCCAGGAACCTCGTGAGGCTCCAAAACTCGAAAGCCAGCGAAGCCCTACAGCCCTCAAACCCCCAAACCCAACGCGTTTTTTTGTTCAAGGTTTAGGGTTTAGGATTTGGGGTTTAGGGTAAAATCCCCCACTCCCAATAACAACTATCCATGTAGTACCATCATAAGCTTAACAGGGAATATTCATTATTGGTGGGAAGGGAATTCGAACAGACCACCCCATTTGATATATTTATATATATATATACACATGTGTACTACACAATGTCTGCATAATCCCAGTTTCCATTTCATTTTCCATTTGATTCTCGATTTTCTCATAAATCCTATACAAGGTAAGGCCTATAGTATCCCATTTCTGTACAACCCCTAACCCTACATATGTCTAGAGCTTCCATTATTAGGGATTAGGGTTTAGGGTTTCAGGGTTTAGGGTAGTCCCCTCTTCCCACTAGTCACCCCACCCGCTTCCTAATCATAAATATTCCCACTTACATGTCATGGAACTATACTTGGGATATTCATTATTACGGGTGGGAACCCCAAACTGCCCTAAACACGAAACCGTGTTGCATACTTGGAGGATCAGGGGGAGCTCATAAGTATATCCACAACCCTGAGAAGCCATACGGTGACCCCAGTTCTCTTTCTTATTAACCTAGTTCTTTAAGTCCCTCTGACCTTGTATCCCAAAGCTCTAAACCCCGCACGGTCTAGTAGTTTCCAATCTCTTTTCAACTAGCAATTACTCACTAATATTCGGAAGAGGAGGTTTTCCCCTAAACCTTAAACTCTAAAGCCCACATAGACTTACCATTACTTAGCTTCCCGAAATTTCCTTAATTTAAAACTTGAAGATCAAAATGACCCCCCCAACCCTAAGTCCTAAACCCTAAACCCTGAACCCTTAAACCTTGAGAGCTCCAGCGTCTCTTGCGGCTTTGGAGGCAGCGGGCGCGTGTCGCGGTAAATTGCGAACTGCCTTACCCAGACCCCTGAAAGGATCCAAAAAATGGACCCTCCCCCAATATGAACCCATTAGTACTACATTGGGGAAACTAGGGCATAATCAGGGGGTTCCATTTTTTGGATCCTTTAGGGGGTCTGGGTAGTTGAAGGGGCCCAGCTTTGCGAGTCTAACGTAGTTAGGGCCTATTGAACTAGACTAAGGTCTAGGGTTTAGGGGGTTTAGGGTGTATGGGGCATGTAACTTGTAGGGCTACAGGGTTGGAGCTTTGAGCCTAGGGTTTAGGGAATGTAGGGGCCCAGATTCTGAGAATAATGGAACCATGAATAGAACAAATCCTTTCCCACGAAGCCGAGGCTTGAGATTGAGAAGAAAGATGGACGGGGAAAGAGCACGACCACATCATCTTAATGTCGGTGAGTAGGGATATAGCATGAACGGATGATATTCCTTTCTTCTCTAATGTCGACCCTTTATTCATGAAGCCCCTCCTTAATCGGGATTATGATAGGGATCCTAATATTGCGGCCCTTAAACGGAGGTTTATTAATCACGGGTCTAGATTACTAGCCACCAGTAAGTTACTGAGGATTTAGAGGTCAAGTTTGGGGTTCCGAACTTTGGGCTGAGTTTGGGATGGTGGAGCAGCTTCCAGCAGCAATTAGAAGGGATGATAATGGGGAACGCCATTCCCCTGCAGCCAACATAGCACGAGAAGGGTCGAGGGTTTAGGATTTAGGCTTCAGGGTTGAGGGTGCGAGTATTTGGTTTGCGATGTGGGGGGGCTTAACATGTGTGAGGTTTTGGGTGTCGGGCTTGAGGTGTTAGGTTCAGGGTTTAGGGCCTGTAGAGGAAACAGTTTCATGAAGAAACGGAAAACCTCCTGTCACGTTTAAAGTAAAACGTCTTGTCACGTTTAGAATAACGCGTCTTGGGCTGGAGATGGGATTTTCTAGAGCAACATGGGGGTGTCGAGCTCTTGCGGTTTTGGATGCCGGCAACCGTTAACAAGCTTCTAGGAAGTGCCAATGGGTATCTTTTAAGGCGGTTGTTTGAGGCCTTCGAGCTTTTCGAGGCCTTCGAGCTTTTCGCCGCCG